GGAACTTGTAATTAATATATACTATCATGCGTTAAAATAAATACTTAACCAAAATAATTAAAAATATTTATAATCATTAAAATATGATAATATATTGTACATTCATAGTTTATGATTATTTGTTGTATAATTTATTCTAAGGATTAAGGCGTATATTTGAACGATACAATTCAACACAATCACACATTACATATTATCATTATTATATAATTATTGGTTCAACATCTCTACTCGTTATCACTTATCATGGATGAATATCAATCTTTAACATTTTACCAAATAATCTGATTACTCACAGAAATTATACCTTGGTCGAAATGTTGATCAACACCATATGACATGTAAGAAAACTTAGAATGGGGAGTCTAGACAGCTGCAACACACATATTTTAATCTTTTTTTCGCATTAAAAATATTATGGTTAAATAGTCATTAAAAATTTTTGATTTTTCATAATTTTTAAAAAATTAGTTTCACCTATGCTATATTATGTAACAAAGGTGTTGTTCCCTTTGTTCACGTCTTAATAATTCAAATGCATAGTAAAATTAAACGACTTGGATTTTATTGATCAAATACAAAAACTCGGCAACTGCATGGCCATTAGTTACAGTTTGACTTGGATTTACTACGGTTAGAAATTGTAAAATTTGAATTCGTGATCATGTGTAATATGGTCAGACACCGACATTTCGCAGGAGTAAAGTTATTAATGAAAACTTTGAACGTCGCAAGGCTTACAGATGGGGGGGGGGGTGTATTCAATTTTGACCGTTGTACATATTTTGTACTCCTCATATGATATATAGTTTCTTACGTCAAATATACGACAGTCTGTTTGAATGCAAATCAGTGTATCCCAGCCAACTGAATTATTGCTATTATGACATATATATATTATATTATATGAAGCAGTAATTGGGAAATGGTCATAAAACTCGAATGATTTAATACAGCATGCACACGCACATTATAATTTGGTGTAAGTACATATGTATATATATATATATATTACAGTATATGTGCTGCGTACAAGAGAGACTTCTCGAAGAGGGGAAAACAATGAGAGACGACTATGGCGGCTTGGTGGAAGGGCTGAAAATTGTCTTTTTCGCAAACGTCGTCGTCGTCGATCCGATTTAGTCGTCGCCCGCGCACACACATACACACACACACACACACATACACACACACACACACACACACACACACACACACACACGCACACACACACACACACACACACCCACCCACCCACACACAACAACAGTACATACAGACCGTAACGAATTTAAGTCAAAACTAATCACGAACCCAAATCCAATTCCCGCGCCTCGACCCCTTTTGTAATCGTTTTCTTCATTTCGAAATCAATTTCACCTGCGGTAAAATGAACATTTGGCCCGCAAGAAACGTGTACGAAAAAATATAAAATAACACCACGGTGCACATTATAATATTAAATTCTCTGCGTCTCTCTCTAAACTCTCGACACTTTTTAAATACATTATATGAGCATGACGTATTTGTCAATAATAAAAACTTTTCTCGAACGCATGTGGCGGTGGTGCCTATTCAATCAAATATGTCAAATCATTACCGTATGTGTGTATTGTCCACTAGTCCAACTGTAGTGTATTATAGTGGTTACAGGTATATTATGTTAACTCTTATGGAAAATTATGTACCGAAATAACTGTAAAATTGTAATGTTGTATTGGCCGAACAAGCTTTGAGTCATTTGGGACACTTTTATACTAAATGAGTAAGCCACTAATTTTTTGGGGCATAATCGGACTCGTTTCTGTAGGATATTTAAAACACCAGCGGTGATAGAAATAATGACAGACGAGAATTATTATACCAATTGGCACCTGCAAAAGTGTTGGACACAGTATTTGTATTGACTATTATCTATATTTAAAGATGCATATTATAAGTATTGATGACCCATTTTTGCAGAGTTATTAAATGTCCACGAAGTTGGTCCCTGACTTTCATCGATTTACCAAACCCATTCTATTATTTCACAACTAATTTGCAATTGTTTACAACATGCGAATTTCATTTGCAAATCCATACTTTCGCCACAATCAAGGTTTTATTTTAGGTGAACCAACTTAACGTTACCCCTGGATTTTGTCCAATCCATCCGAAACCTTCCCAATATCTTGCAGCTATTTGCAACATGTGTTTTAAATTTTGATGGAGGTTGCTAACATCATGTAATTAAATGATAATGCAATTTTCTTTGAACTATTTAACGATTGAACATCGTTGAACCCGACTTGGCTAAAGTATGACCCATATTAATTATTGTTTTGATATTTGTTACGATTGAGTTAGGTAGGTAACAAATAACAACATTTGCCTTATTTATGTCAAAATACCCCAACGAAAATGTCACTAGCGGATAGCTGCTTTCCTCAAACTATTCATGTATTGTGCACAATTTATTGTAAACTATTTAATGATAGGTACATGTTCATACTTTATGCTCGTAATTTGTGTATTTTTATTCCTGTTAAATTGTGCTCTTGATGTACGAATTGTAAATTGCATTAAAAAAAAAGGAAAAAAAATGTATTTTATAAATTTGGATTAGGTACTATATACTTCTAACTGTAGGTTTAAATTTTAAATTTATTTACAACTTAGAGAATTATTATAACACTATGAATAGTTATATAGATTTCCAAGGTTTTGGTATTATTGAAAAGATATTCAGTAGTGGGTTATTATTAAAATAGTATGTTAAGTTTTTATACAAACAATTTGCAAACATTAATACTTTTTATATAATACAATAAGTATACGATTTTAATAATTTCACATAATATATAATATATATTGTATAAGATATTATTACATGGGTCATAATAAGTTATATTTCTTCAAGATTTATGTTGGATAAATAATATTATGACATGGCATTCGAAGCTAAAATGTACTCATATTTTTTTTTCACCTACCAGTACGACCACCTGCATGGTTGTGTAATAAAGATCATAACTAACCGACCGCGACAGGGACGATATAGTAATAATTTCTGGTGATTTAATGTGAGGCAAAGTCGTTGATATTTTATTCATATAAAACTGTTCTTAAGAGTGAAGATAACGCACAATTACTTCGTTTAATATTTTAATGGGCACGATATATAATACTGCATCAACGGTGTTTATCGCGCGGGGGAAGAAAATTATATCGTATACGACGTCTCTGCTTTATGAAGATGTTTATGTCCCCCCCGAACATCTTCCAACACATTAACCTCATATTGTCAACAAAATGTTTTTCCCGGGATATGCGCACCTATAATAATAGCATAGTATTACAATTTATAATAATTTCCTACACGGTGTCCAATATATAGAATAATCGCAATGTTTTTGAATTAATGAGAGAATATAAATTTATGTGCATTGCATTTAATACTATATCATTAAAAAAGTGTGTATTTATAGGCGTGTAAAAAGATCTATGCGTGTACACTGAACATTACCATTAAAATATATAGTTACGTTTGATGAGGTATAAGGTTTCGTATTAAGTGTTCGTGAAAAAAAAAGTCATGATTAAAGAATGTTTTTGTATTTATTATTAAATATACAGTTAAAATATAAGGAAAAGGGCAAGATTGGTTCGTGTACAATTTGAATTCCAATAGTTAAAATGAAAAAAAAACATTTAATGACTCTAGACGGTACACACTTGGAGGAGAATTTGAAATGCTAAGTGTACAATCGACTGACATATAGATAAAAAAAACGATTTTAACCGTTGGCGGAGGACGTAGAAATAAATACATTATTTCGTCATTAACACAGAGGATGCTATTATTATGAGATTAAAATTTAAAAACGTGTCGACAACAATCATTAAAGAAAATGTTATGATAATGCAGTAAATGAAAATTTATAATATGAGAGCAGCATTACTTATGGTAAACAATTCAAAATATTTATGTATTCTAGAAATAAGTTGTAGTTTATCAGAAAAAAATATTGTTCATATTTGATTGTATAACTTTTATTTTTGAATAAATGATATCGTTATGACGTTTTAACAATTTTCGAAAGTTTTAAGAGCATTCGCCGTGTTCGTCGTTATCAGGAATACGATTGGCTACTATATTGTTATGATTAAGCAGGGAACTAACATATTTAAAACATTGGCATAATCGGAATTCGTGTACAGGGGACGAAAGTGGATATCCGAACTCGATTGCCTATATAATTTAAAATGTATTTAAAAATAAAAAAACTGCTCCTCCGCCATAAAATTCGATTAAATCTCCACCTATGGCGTATGCGTCTTGTGCATAACATTATTCTGACGTGTGCGGCGTGAGTGTGAACAGCGCTCATAAAACATCCCATAACACGTCACACGTATTATTATTGGGATGGCCGGCACGTACTAGATTTTCCACCCCGATTCACCGAAAACTCGTACGTCCCGATTGTGCGTTTTCATTTTTTCCCCATTTCTGTTTTTCCTTATTTGCCGTCTATACGTGGCGTCTCATCAATATACATACCGCAATCCGCGGTGTTATATTATATTTAGGCTTGTGGGAGGCGCTTCACTCCCGAAAACCCGTAAACGGGGTACGAAAATGAAAGGGTAGAAAAAAAATGCTTGAGTTCGAGACCGAACACGATACGAGGACAACGGCAGTTCCTCGTTAAATCCGAAAATAAGCGAGTGCTATACAGTATGTCCCAAAAGTCCCGTATCACCCTTAATATCTCCATGTAAAATCACTATATTTAAACGCGGTTTTTTTTACAGTACTAAGTATGAAAATTCAGATTGAATGGCATAAAATTCATTTTTTTTTTTAAAAAATTCAAAAATTTTCAAAAAAAAATTTTACGCATTTAAGAATTTAAAATTTTTAAGATGGCCATTTTGTTGAAAATATTTTTTAAAACAGTTCAAAAAAAAAAAAAACTAAAATTAAATAAAAATTGACCAAGTTAGAGCAAGTTATGTTTTTGAATAATTGTAGTAAAAAAATCAATTATTGTTTCACATTTCAATAATGAAATATCTAATTTCAACACACGACAATACTTTTGCATTCCTTATTAAAGTTTTGATTTGAATAGAAATAAAAATAGCCGTGTTATATCGTTTGCTGAACAGTGAAACTGGTTACCTATTTTTAAGTATTTTAATTATCACGAAGTGAACCTAAAGTTACAGTATTGGACATAATCTTACAGTTATAATTAATGCGATTTATAATAATAATACCTATGCATATCGCAATTTGGTAAATTATAATTAAAATTATTATCTTGTGTTCTTTCTTTATAACTATTACTGCTATTAGTGTCATACGTACAGTACGTACTGTGTCTTTAACTATAATTTCTTATTTCTTACTTATTTAATTCAATATTTAAAATGACTCATACATTCTCAGTACATGAGTACATTGATATGGTGAAGTGTTACTTCCGAAACAACGAAAGTCATAGACAAGCTGCTTATAGTTATGGAATTGAGTATCCTGATCGTAAAAAACCATCGTACAATGTTATCAACAGATTAATGTCTCGATTTTTGGAAACAGGTAAAATTGCATGATTCTCAAATTTATAATAAAGTTGCAAATTTTGGTATTTGGATACGCCGAACCATTTCAGACGATTTAGTCTAATAAGCGACTGAACCTTATATCCATAAGTCTTATAAGTGACGTGGTGTCCACTGTACATATTTCTAAGAAATTAATTTTTTCCTACACTAAGCTAAATATCACGTAGATATTAGGTAGTGGGTGTTAAGCTGTGTATCTATTATTGAATTATTTTATTTATTTCTTAATTTTTTTAATAACTTAATTTTAACTCTTAGGTAATGTCAATGAACGAAATAGGTCAGGTAGATCTCAAAGTGTTACAAACGTAGATAATACCATCAACATTCTTGGAAGTGTAGCTGTAGCTCCAAAATTATCCGTACGTCATAGGTGCGTGGAGGCTGGACTGAGCAAATCATCCGTTCATAGAATACTCAAAAAAAATAAAATAAAAGCATATAAAACAAAATTTGTTCAACAGTTTCATGCGGGTGATGAAGAAAGGCGTTTACAATTTTGTGAATGGGCATTACACAGAATCAGTCAGGACCCACTATTTATAGATAAATTAATTTTTACTGATGAATCTACTTTTATTAGAAATGGACAAACAAGTAGACACTGGACATATCACTGGTCTGACGAAAACCCACATGAATCCATAGAATTTCATGCCCAAAATATAGAAAAAATAAATGTTTGGAGTGGAATTTGGAATAAGCAGATCATTGGACCCTTTTTTATAGAAGGTAATTTAAACGGAGAAAAGTATCGAGATTTATTAGAAGAAAGTGTGTGGCCAATAATTTCTCAGTTAATTAATACAAACAGAATAGAGCCAATTTTTATGCAAGATGGTGCACCAGCACATAATTCAAATATTGTGAGAGGTTGGCTGGATGAGCACTTCCCGGGAAGATGGATGGGAACAAGGGGTCCAGTGCTTTGGCCACCTAGGTCCCCCGATTTAACACCGATGGATTTTTTTTTATGGGGTTATTTAAAAAATTTTGTGTATCCGTCGTGTTCATTGCCTGATCTTCGTCATAAAATTGAACAAAATATTCAAAATATCTTACCCGAGACATTAGGAAATGTTAAGAACGCTTGGGTCGAAAAACTTCAACTCTGTGTTGCAAATAATGGAGGTCATTTCGAACATTTATAAAAATATAAATGTAATGAATTATTTTCATTTTTATGTAATAAAATCTTTTTTTTCTTTTAGCAATCAAGTTTAAAAATGTTATCTGAATTTTAATTTTAATCTTTCCTAAAAGCTTCACTAATAATTAGATGTTTACAGATTACCATTAAAAACAGCATACCTACATAACTATTATTACAATTATTTATAAACATACTCTACTCAACTAGCTCTATCTTTATTATAAATCGCATTAATTATAACTGTAAGATTATGTCCAATACCGTAACTTTAGGTTCACTTCATGATAATTAAAATACTTAAAAATAGGTAACCAGTTTCACTGTTCAGCAAACGATATAACACGGCTATTTTTATTTCTATTCAAATCAAAACTTTAACTAGGAATACAAAAGTATTGTCGTGTGTTGAAATTAGATATTTCATTATTGAAATGTGAAACAATAATTGATTTTTTTACTACAATTATTCAAAAACATAACCTGCTCTAACTTGGTCAATTTTTATTTAATTTTAGTTTTTTTTTTTTTTGAACTGTTTTAAAAAATATGTTCAACAAAATGGCTATCTTAAAAATTTTAAATTCTTAAATGCGTAAAAAATTTTTTTGAAAATTTTTGAATTTTTTAAAAAAAAAAATGAATTTTATGCCATTCAATCAGAATTTTCATACTTAGTACTGTAAAAAAAACCGCGTTTAAATATAGTGATTCTACATGGAGATATTAAGGGTGATACGGGACTTTTGGGACATACTGTATACTCAATATTATGCTCAGGAGTGTACGCAGGGTTTTAGCTCAAACACGGGGAAGGGGGGGATGGGGTTTGTAAAAGGCGATGCCCTTACCCATCGACTTTATATTATTATCTTCCGTCATATATAGACGAAAACATTTTTTATTTTTTTTTTGATTATTAACTTTTCGAATTGTTTTCAGTGCAAACATGGGTACTGGAGAAAAAAATTATATGCATTTTTTGTACACAACAATAACAAAATATCATAAATTAAAATATAAACATCTTTACACATTTTTTCGGAATACCGTGTTTATTGATAGTTAATATGATGTAGATGCGACTTTCATAAAAAAAAAAAAAATGTTGATTTTTAAATGTATGACTTAGTTGGGTATTTCACGCGGGAAAATGTGCCCAACACGTGGTCACGGGGAGGTGGAGGAGTGTAGAGCTCCGTGGAATCCACTGTCTATCTTTTCGCCTAATTGATGCGCAGTAGGTTTACACTGCATTATATCGGGTACGAGGTCTTGTCATATATTGCAAAGTCACATCGGGTTTGGCGCCAGGATGTGCGCATAATATGTATACTGCGTGTAGTGTATTATTACGGGGGTGCCCTCGAATAAGGATCGCGAGGATTTTTTTCCTTTTTATTTCGGCCGCCGGGTCCCTTTTTAATGGGTCGTGAAACGGTGCGTACTTACACACCCTATTCAAATATTCCCCGCTGAAATATCCGCATTCGGCCTATATATCGTAAATATATATATGCATGCAAAGGCAACGCACATATACGCGTATTGTATATATATATATATATGTGTATGGCAGCAGTTTCTGGCTCAAGTTTAAGGCCTTTATTGCAATGTCCGAAAATGTCGACGCGGGTATGTATATATATCGTACGTATTATATTATATTATGTATGTATATATAGTGTGGGCCGCGATACGGGGGTGTCGAGAGCAGCTGTTTGTGGCAACCCGACAGCGAGCGTAAACCCAATAGCATTCAATAAAGTGCTTTCTACCGTAGTGTACTTAACGCCCCGCACAATAGGACGTTTACTCGTTTAAGTCCCGAAATTTGTACGACAGACATTAGCGCCGTTTAATTAAAATGCCGCAGCGGCCTGACAACCGCCGTTGGGCGCGCAGACTTCCTCTTCTTCTTCTTATATTATTATTATTATATTCACCAGTCCCCGGGGAGACCATAATAGTATGAACTTTTCACGTCCTCCCACCTCCCCCTACGTCCCCACAAACGGGTGTACGACTGTCGAGGCTATAAAATTTTAAACCGTCGAGTTTTGTACCCAAACACGTAGTCTTGTCTCGTTCGTATCATAATTATATTGTTCCCACGTCGGTCCGGTTGTGACACGTGTCCCCTTTATATACACGCTGCATGATTTGTGCTCGAGTGTCGACTATAATATTATATTAAATTAATTATCTTGATATTATAATTCCATGTATAGGTACGCGTTTTCTCGCATCTATATTATATATATATATATATGTATATTATAAACGTCACAGGCCCTTTGACGATTATAAGGGGAAGGTGTTTTGCTAATTGCACGCCAAAGATTAAATTCGTCGAGCAATCCATAAATCGTTATAACATAATACATAAATATATTGTTTATAATAATTATACACTCTTCTTGCACACGAATGCATGATGAGGATATTGTGAGTTTGGGTTGACTGTAAACGTAGGAAGAAATGAAGAATAATATACTTTCTCATTTTGAATGATTTCATCAAATTGCTATCGCATTTTACCAAAGCTACCCGTATAATGACATTGTACTCAACTACGTTCAGAATGAAATACAAATAATAAATATCCCATAATATTAAATTATTATTAAATAGTATGTATGACCTACCCCTAATTTTGGGTTTATGGAAACATGCAGTAGCATACGGTGTGTACTAGTTGTGGTCATAATCAAAAATTACATACTAGTTGCGGTCACCCCTCAAAAAGGTTACATACTAGTTGCGGTCATCCATCAAAAAGGTTACATACTAGTTGCGGTCATTCAAATAATAATAACTCAGTATACTAAATAATATAATAAAATATAGTTTATATGATGATTAAATATGAAATTAATATTTCGTTTATTTATTGAATTTAGAAAAATGTATTAATCAACATTTTCCTTCCCATTTATATCGAAAAGATAAAAGACTTAGGACTGTCTACACTATTATTTTTTGTGTAGTTATGGTTAAAAATGTTGATACCTACTTATGTTTATATTACGTGGTTAAACTTGTGTCAAAATATAGTATATAATAGTAAACTTGTGTCAAAATATAATATATAATAGTATAATAATAATAATAATTATACATTTTAAAATTTTGTAGGTATAAATTGAAAGGAAATTTTATTTATAAACTTTACAGATAAGTAGTGGTGTTCCCACATATATACACTGTGTGCATTATATACAACTATGATAAGGTATGACCGCAACTAAGATATTACCTAAATTGGTGTGACCGCAACTGTTATATCTGTTTATCTCAAAAATCGTCATGACCGCAACTAGTATGCAGCCGTAGCATATAATCATAGATTTATAATTATTACGCTCAATTATGTGTTACTGCCAACACCATTTCATTATGTACTCTTAAAAAATAATTCTTAGGTCGATAATGAGTAATATATATTAAAAGTCAAAACATTCGTATCGATCCGCTCGTGTCTCTGTTGCATTCTAAATAACAATGATATAAATCTTCGGACTAGAAAAACGATTTCGATCTGAGTCCTATTGTTGCTGACTTTTCCACAGTACCGTGCGATTCTTGAAGCGTATATTTTCAACGGTTGTCGGAAGTTTTTTCCTGCCCTCAGAGAGCCTATCGAGAAAATTGAAAAACAACCTCTTCAAAGTGTACCAACCCAAATCCGATTTCCGGTTCCAGAGAGCTTTTACGGAATAAATTCAAATCAACACTATACATTTTCCGTAAAACATCGAAGGTCGTTCAAAATCCATTTTTTGATCTACGTAACCTACGATGCCGAGTTTTCCGACCGCTCCGTTTGCTGGTATAGCCCTATAGTTGAACATACCACTTGCAGTCTGCACCGCTCGAGCAGTCATTATATGATTATTATTATTAAATTGTTTTAGGTATCGTCATTATTATTATTATTTTATTTCGTTTTCACCGACTCCGGTGTTAGGTTAATATTTAAATCTCTATCTACACGACGGGTCTAGTCTTGAATTATTGACCCGTACAAAAAAAAAACCACATCATAAAAAACCAATAATAAGGCGTTTTTATTGACGTGCACCTAATATGATCGCGGCGCGTTTGAGGAATCGTCGTCGACCGTTCGTCATATTCATCGAATAAAATAGTATCACATCGATCGGGTCTTCGAGTGCAGCGGTGCACTATAATTCCAGTCGCCGTACTATGATCTCGACGAATCCGAAACGCCATCATTATTATATGTAGGTGCGCGAGACTGGCGTCGATTATACGCCTGCAGCGCCGCCCACTGAATCGCAAACGTCTCGCTCGTATACACAACGTCGTACACAATACCGTCGCGGGTGCGTTTGAAGAAATAATATTAGTTTACCCACATATATAATAATAATAATAATAATAATAGTAATAATACATAAGCGAAGTAGAAGAAGTTTTAATAGAAGTGCACCGCCCCGCGCTGCACCGTTACACGCGGTATATACCCCGGTATAATGTATGGTATATAACTGTATACAGCGGTAACCGCCACCGCCGCACGCACGTCGGAGTAATTGTATCCATTGTGCGGCGTCGCTCGGAGGGCGAAGAAACGAGCTTGTTTTGAATTGGTAATCCCGAAGCCCGGCCGCTGCGCACCTCCCCGTGCTGCCGGTGCAGTCGTGTCCCGCGCGGCGCAGTCGTCCGCTTGTTAAACGCGCCCGTTTTTGCCGCCGATGAATACGTAATTGGACTTTGTGATGTGCATGATGCAGTCAAAGCGAGGGGCCGCCGCGTTTTAGTCGCGGGCGCGGCGTGTGATATACGCACAGGCTATAGGATTACTATACCTACCTTTATGCATATACGCTCTGCCGCGGCGGAGGAGGGGAGGGACAAAAATTTGTAATATTATTATTATTACTATATCGTCATCATCATCGCCTCGGCGGCGGTAGTCTCTCGGGCACTTGGACGCGTACTTTTTTTAGTATGATAATAATAATGACGAGAAAAAAAATATACATGTATAATATTCATCCTGAGATCGAGTGTAAGTATAATGATAAAAAGTAAAAAAAAACTCTTTCGTAATTCGAGCAGCAGACGACGTCACGATTTTGGATATTATTATAATATTATATACATTGTAATTCGTTCGCACCGACTGCAACTCCTTATAGTTATAATATGGCCCTCTTGTCCATGGCAAACTTTGAGCACTGAAAGAAAGAAGGAAAAAAAATTACAATAATTCGACGCGGAATAAGATTTGGAGGCGTAACGTGTATTTTAACGTCAATTTCCGCTCCGTCCGTCGACCGTCGAGGAAACAGAATACTATTATTATCGCATACTAAAACGAGTGTCGTTTTGAAAGTCTGAGCAAATATTATATTATTTTTTCTGTGGTCTGAAGAGGCAGTTAAGTCTTCCAATAAAACTAAAAAAATCCGATTGTATACATTTACATTAATTAAAATATATTATTACAAT